GTAACACCCCCCCTCGCCCCCCAAGTCCATACCAATCTGACCATGGGGTAAAATTCTTTCCTGACCCAAATATGGTGGTTAGTCTGACTCTGAGAAGAGGGGCAACACCCGTTAGTCAGGAACCTCTGATTTTAAGTCCCAGCACAAGCATTGGTACACACGAGTCAAACCCCAGCCTTGGCCGCAAACAACGCTCAATGCCTCTGAGAAAGGCTTAAAAAAAACCCCAATTCCCGACACAGCAACAGGAGGAGAAAGAATTCCTTCCTAACCCCATGCAGCAACCAGTAAAGCCCAGAAACATGGAAAATACCCATAGTTACACCTAGATCACCCCTGACCAGTGGCTGTCTAATCTGTTCTTGAATACCTCCAATGATGAAGGGTCCACAACTTCCCTAGGCAGTCTATTCCACTGCCTCACCATTCTAACAGTGAAGAATTTTTTCCTGATATGCAATCTAAATATACTTTGCTCCATCTTCAAGCCAGTGGTCCATGCCCTAGTCTCTGCAGCAAGTGAGAAAAGGTGTTTTCCCTCTTCTTTATGGCAGCTGTTCAGGTATTTGAAGACTGCTATCATGTCCCCTCTTAAGCACCTTTTCTGCAAGCTGAACATGCCTATTTCCTTCAAACTCTCTTTGTATGTCTCGCCTTCCAAACTCTTTAACATTTTTGTCACCCCCCAACCCTCTGTAACTTCTCCACAGCCTTTTTAAAATGTGGTGCCCAAAACTCTATACCATAGTCCAGATAAGGTCTAATCAGTAATGAGTACAGAGATGCTATCACCTCCCATGTTTGACACCTAATGCTGCTATTGATGCATCCCAAAACTGCATTTGCCTTTTGTGCAGCTGCATGATGCTCATATTGAGTCTGTGATCTACCACAACTTCTAGATCAGGGGTAGGCAATGTTTTTTGGCCGGCGTGCCGAAAAACATCACAATGCCTACCTTGGAAGGTGCCAGAGTGCTGGCAAACCAGAAAAACAAAATGAGGGCAGGGGGTACATGGCAGGATGCCCTGCTTCTGCCACTTGCCCCCCACCCAGAGCCCCTGCCCCCCCGGCCCTGTTGCCCCTTGCCTCCCACCCAAAGCCCCTGCCCCCCAGCCCTGTTGCCCCTTGCCCCCCACCCAAAGCCCCTGCCCCCTAGCCCAGCAGCTACCCAGAGCTGGGGCCGACTGCAGCTGGGAAGCTGCAAACAGCTGTGCTAGGCTCCACAGCTCTGGCATCAGCTCCATGCTTGCTGCAGCTGCCCAGAGCCCAAGGTGGCTACAAACAGCTGTGCTGGGCTCCGAAGCCCAGTCACCAGCTCCATGTTGAGAGTGCGGGAGAGACTGGGGTTGTGCTGCCTCACGCCCCTCCCCTACTGCCCACTCCAAGGCGCACTTGCACATGCTGGTACAGAGCTGATGCCAGAGCTGTGGAGCCTGGCACAGCTGTTTGCAGCCTCCCAGCTGCAGCTGACCCTGGCTATGGGTAGCTGCTGCCAACCGGGAGCCCAGGCTGCTCCCAGCAGGCAGCTGGGATGCTGCAAGCCCTGCTGGGAGCAGCCCAGGCTCCATTGCTGGCAGCAGCTACCCAGAGCCGGGGCTGGCTATGGCGTCCCGAGCAAAATGTCCTCGCATCTTTCTCAGCACGCGTGCCAGGGGTTGGGGGTTGCTGACCCCATTCTAGATCCTTCTCCATAGCACCATCATCCATCCACGTGTCATCTGTTTTCTATTCCTGTTTTTGATTAGTCCTTCTGAGGTGCAGCACCTTGCATTTGTCAGCATTGAACTTCATTCTGTTAGCTCCAGTCCAGCTTTCCAATCTAGCTTTCCAACCTGTTGAGATCCTTTTTTTAAAGAGGGGCACTACATTAGCCCTTTTCCAGTTTTCTGGTACCTTGTCCATCTCTTACTACTTAATTGCAAGGGGCTCCAAGATCTCCTCTGCCAGCTCCTTCAGTGCCCTGGATAAAGTTCATGAGGCTCTGTTGACTTGAACTCATTTAGACCCAACACAAGCTCTCTGACAGTCTATTTTGTTATCTTGTTCCTCAGCTTGTCCTTTTTCCTATCCAAATAATCTTAATTGGGTTGCAGCCTCATTTTTTTGTGAAGATTGAGGCATAGTAGCTGTTGAATAAATCCACCTTCATTGCATCTTTTGTTAAGAGTTTCCCTTGGCTAGTTAACAAACCCACAGTTTCCTTGGGCTTTCTTTTCTGGCCGGCATACTTATAGAACCTCTTTTTGGTGTTTTTAAACTCCCTCATCAGATGCAGCTCATTCTTTATCTTTGCCTCTGATCATGTTCCTGAAGTCTTGCTATTTTCATGGTATGCTTCCTTGGTTTCCAGTCCATTTTTGCACTGCCTGTATGCTTTCCTTGTGCATTTGAGGCAACCTAGAAGCTCTTTGTACAGCCACATTGGTCTCTTACCATTCTTCTTATACTTCCATTGTATCAAAAGTTTCTTGCTGTGCTTCCAATACTGTGCACCTTGGAAGCTTCTAGCCCTCCTTTTTTCCCCATGGCACCATGCCTATTAATTCCTTGAATCAGCTGAAATCCACCTTTGGTGAAATCTAGCATCTTAGTTCTCCTGATCTCATGCTTTCCCTGTCTCAGGATCTGGAATTCTATCAAACTGTAATCACGCTCCCAAGTTACTGATCATCTTCATGTCCTGCACCAGTTCTTCCCTATTGGTCAGGACAAGATCCAAGATATATGATTCCCTGGTACAGAAAGCTGTCCTCCGAACAAGTTAGGATCTGACTTGACGTTTTATGTTTGGCTGTACTGTTCTTCCAGCAGATGTCCAGAAAGTTGAAGTCTCCCATCAGAACCATCACATAGTTTTTGGCTAATTTTGTCACCTCCTTAAGAAATGCCCCATCTACTGCTTCTTCCTCAACTGGTGGCCTATAATAAATCCCCACCATTATATCAATGCTGCATTTCATCTTCTATCTTCACCCAAATGCATTCTGCTCTGTTATCTTTTTCCTCCTGAACCAGGGAACAAGCGTATGCATTTCTGACACACAAAGTGACACCACCACCTTTTCCACCAATCCTGGCCTTCCAAAACAGAGTGTAGCCCTCAATGTTCCAGTCATAAGAGCTGTCCCACCAGGTGTATGCGATGCCAATCAGGTCATAGCTCATTTCATAGGCTGCCAATTCCAGCTCATCTTATTTCGCACACTTCTTGCATTTGTATACATACATTAGATGTGTTTTGCATTCCAACATACTCGTTTTCCTTTTGCATCACTTGTTGCTGTCCTGTGGCTCCCTGGCCCTTTCTGAGAGTTGAGCTGCTTTTTCCAGTCCCTTCCCCTCTGGATTGTTAGCTCTGTTGCTAGATAATTTTGTTCATCACCCAAGGAACCTAGTTTGAACCCTTACTAGGTTAGCCAGATGATGTGCAAAGATGCTGTTCCCAGTTCTGGTTAGAACACCCATCCAGTGTCAAAGAACCCAAGCCCTTCATGCCAATACCACCACCTTAGCCACAGATTTACTTCCAGGATATGATAGTCCCTGCTTGGGTCCTTGCTTTCTACTAGGAGGATCAATGAAAACACCACTTGTGCTCCAAGCTCCTTAATTCTCCTGCCAAGAGCCTCATAGTTGCCTCTGATCTGTCTCTGTCATTATTCTTGGCAGCATCATTGGTGTCTACATGGACAAGAAGGAATCTGACATCCTGAATTCAGGCTCCAAGCAGACAGCACACCTCCTGGGACCCCAAATCTGGATGACAAGTTGGTGCCTCTGTTCCCTGAAGAAGGGAGTTACCAACGACCACCACTCTTCTTTTCCTTCTTGGTGCAGTGGTCCTAGAACCCCATCTCTGGGACCCTGTATTTCCTGCTCTCTAGACTGCCAAGTGCTCTGCATGATGCCTGCAGATGTTCTCATCTTCTGCCTCTTCCTCAGCCTTTCCACCACAGAGTGCTTGAAAGTGGTTACTCAGTCTGCTCCTTTTCAATTCTGGAGACTCTCCTCCTTTTAGTAGTCACATGCTGCCATCTCCCCTTTTCCTTTTGGCCTGTCCAGTACTAGCCTTACATAACTCCTGTCCAAGTAAACTTCCTTTTTATTGATAAAATGCAGTGTGAATATCCATGTTTCCAACCTTTGATTTTTTTCCTCCAGAGCAGACACCAGATGCAGATGAAGTGTCTTGACCTCCGGGAGGAACACAAACATGGCATATTGTGTGCAGGCCACAACTGCTGACACAGCCACCATTTATGCCTCATTTACCCCCTGGAGGATATGTAGGCTGTAAACCACACAAACTAAACACCCAAATCTGTGGCCAGACTCCTTCCCTTTCTGTTCCTTCCTCTTTTTTTTGTTGTAAGGGGCTGCCTTTTATAAGGCTGCTTAGCTTAGCTCCATCCTTCAATTAGACAGAGGAAGCCCTGTCAATCAGTCACTGCAGAGGGGGTAAAAAACAAACAACCCCCCCCCACAATAAAAAAACCCATAAAAACCCCCACACAGCAGGCACTAGGCAAACACTAAAGCACCAATCAGACACTCAGAGTCAAGGACTCAAGGCAGTCCTGCTGCTGAGTTGCTTATCTCATAGCAGCTCCCTCTCTGCTTCAGCCCTTCAGAAATTAGAAGACTTTCCTTTGATGGTCTTTAAAGATAGGTCAAACTTGGGATATAGTCTACTACTATCAACCCATTAACAGAGCTGTAGATATCTGTATGTGTCTTGTAAATATAGGCGAAAAGTAAGCTTTATCAAAATTAACTCAGGCCTGACTGAACTAATTTTAAACTTCTACAGTGATACTTTCTTATATGCTCCCTTCTCATAATAATCTGTATTAGCAAATATTGTTTTCTGTACTGTGAGATATGATCATAGCTTAGATGCAAAGGAATATACTTAAATAATTTAATGTATTTTCATTCAGTGGATAAAATTTGTAAAATCGTGTATACACTTCAAAATCGAGTATGAATGCACATACCTTAAAGAATTCCTTCTTCTCTACATGTTTATTGCCATCAGTATCCAGCATTTTAAACGCAATATGAAATCCAGACTGTGGTTCTGTAATGAAGTGCAAAAATACATATACATTTCTATATGAATATTTAAGGCAGCTGAAACCTTGCCTGCAGCTTCAGTTCTCCATAGTTAGACAGGTAGTTCATATTTCTAACAAACCACATAAACCATAACAACTATTATATGAACAATGGAAAATAATTTTATAATAATTTCAGAAGATGGTTGATGGGGTGGTGGGTAAGGAAGCTTGAATAGTGCCTAAATACAAATACAATGTTTTTTTCTTAACTTCTATGAAAATTAATGGCCTAGCATCTTTTTCTGTGCATCCCTTTTATATGTCTCCATTGTCCCTTACCATTATTAAGCTCTACTTTTATCCTGGAGTGACCTGGAAGTGTCTTTGAAAGCCAATCAATATTCCCAAATTGGTTAGATGATTCACCATAGGGTGGTCTCAGGAATATTGTCCTCTTATAGACAGGGTATACAATAAACATTTTTTTCTATCTCCTCTGCTTTAGAAAGCAAGAGATTGGATTTGTAAAATTACAATAAATTATCTGTGGTGGTAGCATGGGAATTAGCAAGAGCATCACTGAGCCAACCCACATATTTTTTTTTAGGATTATATTTTTAACTTCTATTAGGAGAAAGCTCACTCTACACAATTTTTAGCTCTCAGTTTACAAACAAACCTAAATTTTATAAGTTTTTGCAGTTGGCAGAATTATACTTTGTAATTATTTCACAAAGTTGGTGCCACTTCTTCAACCAAAAAAAAAATCATGTGGTCTGAGTTGTGTGAGAGCATTAAGAAAATACAAAGCTGCCTGAACTGGTCTTAATTTGCTGATTTGAGATGACCAGACCCATTAATGGATTGCCCTACTAGCTGGACTACACAGGAATCATATAGTGATAAAATGTGTTTCAAGACCACTGCAGGAGCAAGCCAGCACAGTTAATTTGGGGGGTATTTGCAACTCTATCAGTAATTCTGCCCTAGACAAACCAGTTAGATGTGAATGTGGAACATCTGCTTTCATTCAGTGGGGACACTAATGCCTTAAAAAATTAAAGTTTAGTCCAAAGTGCAATGAAACATGACATCCCTTGAGACCCCATGAGGCCATTCAGAAAGTTTTTGGAGACAGAGTCCATTAGCCAATGACTGACAAAAATCTACATTTTTTTAACCTTATGGCAAAAAAGCTTATATTTTTTCAGTGAAAAATATTGACATGTTCTTTACTACTTTATAGTCAATGTAATAAAAATATTATAGTTTGTCTTTGTATGTCATTACCTCTCCATCAGCTAATTAACATTTTCAAGTTACTAAGTACCCTAATATTTTATAAATGTCACTGCAGTGTACTAATCAGAACTCTAGAGAAAACCCCCAAGCTGACTGAGTGATGATATGACGAGCTAAGCTAGCTTCCACCTTATAGAAATGTTTCTTTCTATATGTTTCACCAACAGCATTCACTTATTAAACAGCATCAGGAAACTATGCTATAGCAACTTTAATTCTCTAAAGTGTATTGATTTATTATATAATGATTCATAACATCTGGGTCACAACTTATATTTCTTAAAATATAGGAGCTAAAGCCACTCACATAGTTCACAACATGCCATTCTTATCTGATATGATGTAACCCTTTATGGTATGCATTTATAAAATAAGCATACTTCAAAGTGCTCAAACATATTTGTGTTCAACTCCATAGTCAGACAAAACTGTAGAATCTGAAAATCAGATCTTCATGTTAATCTGCATAGGTAGGTTACACTGAGTACCTTTCCTGCAAACATTAATTATCTCAAGCTTTTCTAAGTACTAATTGGAATAAAGCTTTTGGTAGAGGTATCATACTCAGTTTATAGTCTCTCACTAGGAAGAGGCTCCAGAAATCCCTAAAAAGGGAACACACTTTAGCATTCCTGAAAAAAGACATTGTGTAGTCAAGCCACATGTGAAAGGAAAGGGGATAGATACTGCAATGGATCACATAAGGCCTTTATTTGGCAAACATTTTTGAAGATGAGTCTTAATACCCAGAATATAGATGGTAGCAGTGTTTCCTAGTAAATACAGGACTCAACTGGGACTCAGAAGATCTGGAGAGTCTATTCTATTGGTGAGCTACTGGGTGACCTTGAAGAACTCATCCTACTTCCTTCTGCCTCAGCTTCTTCAATTGGAAAACTGGGATAATTACAATTACAGGCATTATTATTATTATTATTATTATTACTACTACTACTACTACCACCACCACCAGATATACAGAAACAAGGGAGAGGCCCTACTAAGTTGCTGAACCAGACAACTGTATGGGATTTGGGAGACCTTATTAAAAAAACACAAGAGAGCAACTTTGAATAATCTAATTGTTTCTAGGAAGATGCAAGGATTCACAGACATGTAGGCTACATAACTATGAAATATCCAGAGCTGATTGACATGGGATACTTCTTAGATACAGATGGAGGGACTAACAGTTGTTGACATTTGCTTTCAGAATGATGTATATGATAACCTTTTGTGTAATTTAAGAAGCAAAATTATTACTGGATTTTCATTCTGCATAAAAAGGTTCCTTTGTTTTTTTGCAATTCAATCCACTCCTATATGGCAAATCCTGAAATGCTGCTGGATTGTCTGAAAAGTAGAAACTGGTTACTTTGATGCTGCTTCACTTTCTTATTTGAGCCAAAGCATCAGTGCTGTCTTACTCTCAACCTAAAAACCCTTGAACTGAAAGAAGTAGGATCTTTTGCTATCCTATTTATCTAACTTTTAATTAAATAACATACTACATAAAATAAAGATGTTGAAATGAAATGATCTTTTTTGCAATGACTTTGTTAGATTTTTCCTAATGGGTTGAATCCCATACACTACCTCCCCATTCAATAAACCAGTGGCAGATAATTCAGCTAGTATGGAAGGGCATTCTCCTTTGGAATATATGAAAAGAAACAAGGCAGTTTTTCTTTAAAAATTTCTTCCATCTCTACTAGTGTCCTTCTCTTCCTATCTAGTTTATACAGGATGTTACTTAGCAATAATTCTTTTAGGTAATCACTGCCTATTCAGATACACTTCTGAACACCTATTATGCATCTAATGCTCCTCACATTCTGGCTGTTGGATGCAACACTAGATGGTCACTATTTCTTAGGACGGCAGTATACTTATACGATTGCTTGGTTATACCGATGCTATATGCCTTACGGTATGCTTTGTACCGGCTGGAGCTTTCTGAGGGCTGATTGCTGTGAGATATACTACACTGCTCTAGTTCAACAGAGGTGGAAAAAGCTGAATAAGCATTATATAAATATGAAAGGTATAAAACCAAGGTGGATAAATATCTCAAGTAGCATGTTTTCCCAGACAAATATACTGGATGTGAGAAATTAGAGTTACCGTGGAATCTGGGGGGCTCCTCAGTGTACAAATGGTACAATTTACCACTGCATCTTTAGTAAAAAGAGACAGTACTGTGATTGTGAATTCCACAAAGTTCTTCTGCCTACAAACATAATCCCTCTCTCACCTGAGTTCAGCTTCAATCAGCTATTTTTCATTTGTGAACCAATCTCTTTGTGCCACCTGGGCAGTGGTGGGATAGTTTTATGTGGTGACTAGAGCTGTGTTTCATGGGCATGTTACTGACACACAAGGCCATGTTGTCAAAGCAGTTCACTTGCAGCTGAATGTAGATAGTGAGCAGAAAGAACTGATTGATGCTTGAGGCACCCTACAAAGTGTAGATCTGGTGGCACCATTCCTTGGGTGCGTCCTCTAAGGAAGAGTTCAAAACCACTTTCAACCAGTTGCCTAGATTCCTGCCATCTCTCTTGGGTGAAGGAAGAACATCTCATGAATGTGTCTTAAAAGCTGCAGGAAGGTCCATGAAGATGAGAATGGCTGCTCAGCATCCACTGACATCCAGAGCTCTAAAATTTTTGGTTTAATGCATTAGCTAACAAGACTGAGCCTATATGGTCATATAGTTGGACTATACTACAGCTAGTCACAAGCCTCACTTTATAATATCATATGCATTTATGGAAACCTTCCATTAACATTTCTCAACCTTCAGTACAGCCCATCAGACTAGCAAGGGGGAGGCAGCTTACATGAAGTAAAAGACAGGTTCAGCCTGTCAGCCCTCACACACATGCCCAGACAGGATCAGTCCTCACACACATGCCTGTACGACAAAGAGCTGCCATCACATTTGCAGTTACAGTATCAGGCAGCTCCTTGGAAAGCTTGATACACTGTCTTCATGAAGGTGGGTGAAAGAGTACTTTTTTGCCCATGGCACTGGAATCTAAGAGTTTCCAGCCATCTCACCTATATCCTCCCTGCTCCTATGGCATTCAACTCAGTCTTGTGACAGGCAAATAAATGGCTTCTACACCTTCTGGTGAGTCAGGAGTGCTATTAGAAATTACCAACAGATAAGAAGGCAAGAAGAGCAATCTGATTGCAAATAAGGGAGAAAGGGAAACAAAAGTCAAGGGAAGAACACACAAAAGAGGGGAAAAATGGAACCAACGGAAAGGAGGAGGAGAAAACAGATAAAAAAAAAGAGCCAGGATAACAATGGTCTCAGGCAGTGGCACGTGGGAACAGAAGTTTCAATAAAAATATTCTGAACAGGAGCTATTTAGATAGTGTCCTACAAAATGTCTTGAGCATAGTAATGACAGACCACTCATTTTCTTCTGTATCATTGTGATAGTATGTTATACCACTGAATGAGGCTATTTCCTCATATACATCTCATTATCAAATACAATTAACACATTGCTACTAAAAAGACTCCTTAGCTCTGCCCTTGCCCATTTTTTTGTAAATGGCTACATATCCAATTCTTGACCTTGTCTTGCAGGGCTTATCAAGATCTTCAAAGTGCTATCACTAACCACAGATAATACCTGGAACCAGGCTACAGCCAACTGAGGCAATATCCATTTACATTATTTCCTTAATGTTTCATAGCCACATATTTCACTATAAAACCATGTTAGACAGCACTGTGATGGCAAAAGTTAGAAGTAATAAGAATTTGAAATATTGGGCAGTGTTACAAATGAGACATTTTTTCATATAACAAAATACTTACTTGTGAGGATTGTCAGCAAAAACAGGTACTCCGTATATGAGATCAGTCCTAAAATAAAACAGCACCAAAGAGACAGAAGTTTTAAGTTATAACATCAGCATATTATTTTGCAGTAGTTATAACAAGACTTGCAAATTCAATCTTTGTAAACTTATAATGTTAAATATTTAGTAAAATATCAATGTATTAAGTAATGATAACTTAGAAATAAATATTTTCTTTGATCATTGCTACTTAAACAGAATTGTTTTATTGCATTTTCAATGCTCTGGAAATGAATTTCTTTTCCCAGTATCTCAGCAACATTCAAATCTAATTGAGTTAGGTTTATTGGTATTGATAAAAGGCCTGCATTAAATCTCTGGATTTTCACTGAAAATATTCAGTATTTATATGAAGATGAATAAATTAAATGTATTTTGTCATATATAGTACCTAGGAGGCAAACTACTCTAATGTTCCTCTGAAGGATCAAAGTATTTCATCCTTTGGCAGCCTTGAAAAGGCGGAGAATAGCTTTTCTCTAATTCTCAAGGGGAATATGGCAACACGCAAAGCTGCCAAGCTGCTAGATTGAACTGATAGTACTGCTGGGCCCTGTGCCAAGAGGCGTCGTTGTCTTTTTTTTTTTTTTTTTTTAAAAAGGAAACTTTCCTTTTTAGAAGGGTAAAATGTCTTTTCCCCCCCCCCCCCTTTTGAAGGAAAATTCCAGTGTTTTCCTTTGAAAGACCGAGTAAAATGAAAAGCCTGAAAAAACACGAAGATGTGACAAGTGTCAAAATAGCTGCATACAAGCTAAAGATAGAGGGTACATAAAGAAGGTGGTTAACAGCAGAATCCTAACCATCTGTCCTATGATAATGTTTTAAGAAAAAAAATTAAAGGGCTTTTTCATAAACACTTTTTAAAAATAGTAGAGCTACTTTTAACATGTGAACTAAACACTATATAATGTTGAAGCTATTTCAAATGGCATACTTTAAACATTCCTATCTGCTCAAAGATAAACAACTTTTTAAAATTTATATTTGCTTAATTTATAGATAAGAAATCCACCTTAAGCCTCAGCAATAAACAATTAACTTCTGATTAATTACTATAAGGAGCCAACAATGCTTTTAGTGGGTGTGAAATAATTTAACACTAAATTTGCTTTTTAGTGCATTTCCAAAGTTTAGAAGTATTCATTCACTGAAAGCAGCATGGCATAAAAAACACAGGGTTAGGAGTCAGAAGTTTGAATGCTAATCCTGTCACCCAAATCCATGCAGTGAGTCAGTAAACCATTACACCTTGTGTTTCAGTTTCACTACTTGTATAAAAGGGAGAGAAATGTTAACTCACATAACCAAATGAGAAGATTGTGAGGACTATGGTGTTTGTGTCTACATAGTGGCTTTGACCTTGTAACACATTATGCAAACAGTGGGTATTATTTCAGGGATTCTGGTTACAAATACTTTATTAGTCCTTTGGCAGAAAAAACATAAATTACTACTTGTACTGCTGCTGTAGCACTTAGGAACCCTGGTCTTGGACAAGGTCTTCCCTATGCTAGTCACTGTACCAGCAGAGTTCAACAACAAGAAAGAGTTCACAGATGAATTTGGAGAGCACAAAGAAATGATGAGACAATATTCAATGCCATGATAGGCAGTGGTCATAACTTATTCCTGCCTACTATTAAGTTCTTTTTGTGGGCATTATGGTAAAAGCAAGTTTTAAGGAAAGGTTCAGGGAAGACAATGAAATGACTTCACAAAAGTGAACTCCACACACGTAGAGTAATATGGGAAATAGTAGGAAAATACTTGCTTGAATATTTGAACAAAAGAGTAATAAAGTCTGGTATCGCTGGCTTGAGAGTTTGCATCTTAGCAGTGTAAGAGATATGAGGATAACCTACAAAAGGCATTGGAAGTGATGAAGAAAGAGTCAGTGAAGGGATGCAAAGGGAGAGGTGACATGGTCAAGGTGAGCAGCAACGTAAATGATCTTTGCATTTTGAATGGGTAAGCGTGGGGCAAGGCTGCATTTACCAGTTTCCGAGAAGATGTAGCAGCAAGAGAGGCATAAGCTGAAGAAAGCTTGGATGAGATTTGTGGTCATGGTTATAAATAACAAGGTCACATCTTAGAGAACCCGTACAATTTACATATGGCCTGAAAGATATGAAGATCCAGAGAAGAGACGTCATATGGAAGATGATGCTCTCTTACAGACCTGCACCACAGACAACACAGTGGTGCTTACAGTGAAGAGTGAAGGGAAGAAGTTTGAGTGAAAGACTGTAACCTCTGCTGTTAAGTGAAACAGGGAAAAGGTAAGAAACAGTAAAAAAGTAAAAAAAATATTTCTAATTGTTTTTCCAAACCTACCTCTGCTTTAAAGGAAAGCTATATTATATTTGATATTCTCTGTTTGTAACTAATTACACTGAAATCAGCATACACCTGGCTAATGAAGCAGATTTTATTTTTCTACATGAATCTCTCTCTCAATTTTTACTTTGTTTATATGACTTTTATACAAATATGACCACTTTACCTTATATGTAAAATTAATAAAATCTTTTTGTGAATGTTTTGAAGTTCGGAGATTACATATAAAATCATTTAAAGTTTATGTCTAATAGCTGCAGTAGACAAATTAAAAAAAAACAACAAATTTTATTTACATTCAAATAAGAATTAAAAGAATAAAGCTTCATATACCACAAAGTACTTATTCCTGGGCACAACTGGAAACAAGAGTCTTTCTTTTAGAATGGGATAAAAAATGTGTATTTTCCCAAGAGTGTTTTCCTCTCCCCTTCTGCCCCCCCGCCTCAAAAAGAATCTTCACTGATAAGCTGAGAATAGAGGAAAGGTTGCTAATAAATAAAATAATCATAACATTCAATCACAACTACGTACACAAGAATGTGAAAGTTAGTTTTAAAATTGTCCACTAGAAGGCACAACGTCCTAGCTTGATATTCTGCAAACTGAACCAATGATAGTTTTTCTCCAGGGAATATTTCAAGAGTCATTTAACAGTAGAAAAAATCCCAGCTACATATCAAAACAGCTGTGGAGTCTTTATTCACTTGCAAATGTACTATTGTTATTTTTTTTAATTTATAGGGTTTATTTTTAACGAAGCTGAATTCAGGGTCAATAAGGAGGCTTGTAGTAGATCAAATTCTAAGTCTTCTCATGTGGGCAAAAGCTATAGGAACACTTTTCCAGTATGCTGGCAGTCAAAGTGACTCCACAATAACATGTACACTTCAGCAGAAGCTTCTGCTGGAGTCTTGCAAGAAGCAATTAAAGTTGAAGGATCCATGCAGCATATGTATCAGTGTAATGCACTACTACCCATTCTTATCACGTATGCAAAAGCAGGTCAGTTTGCAGGTATTTAGTTCTTTATCTGCCTGTCAGGATTGCACAGTCCCCAGCTCTGCTTCAGCAGGACAGAGATTTACACAAATGCATCCCTTTACTTGGTTTACTTGAGCCCTAATGTGCTCACCTTATATGGAATTCTTACACATGCAAGTGCCGCAGCACCAGGTGCTTTGAAAAATGCCCAGTGCTGCGATGCTTGCAGTTGTATAAGTGGCGAAATGCACATCAGCACTCAAAAAAAATGGTGGCAGCACACTTTTGAACTAAAACACATTGGAGGTGCTTTAGTTCAAAAGTGCACCACTGCCATTTTCTGCACTTTGACGTGCATTTCATCACTCATACAACTGCATGCGGCACAGTGGAGTTCGCCTCAGCTTGTGTGCAGAGCAGATTTGACTGAGTCCACTCCCAAATGGCGGATCTCCGGCACGTTGCAGGACAAAAAAGTATGTGTATAAATGGCCATCGATTTCTAACTTTCTGGATGGGTGGGTTTTAGGCGTATTGTTGAGTTTACATGCTAAGGCTTGATGTAGCAAGTGGGAGGCTGTACTGCCTGCCTACACAACCATATCATGTTGGCCAATTCATGAGGCGACTTTACAGATGGTTTCGGGGAGATGCAATATCTGCTACTGCAAAAAAAAAAAAAAAAAAAAATGGTAGAGGGAAGAGGATTCTTCCCTCTACCATTTGAATATCTGAACGCTCGTGGTGCACGGGCCAAGTCCCGGAGGACTGGAAAAGGGCCAATGTGGTCCCCATTTTAAGGGGAGGAAGGAGGACCCAGGCAACTATAGGCCAGTCAGTCTCACCTCCATCCTTGGCAAAGTCTTTGAAAAAATTATTAAGGCTCACATATGCGAGAGCCCGGCAGGACAAATTATGCTGAGGGGAAACCAGCACGGGTTCGTGGCAGGCAGATCGTGCCTGACCAATCTAGTCTCTTTTTATGACCAGGTTATGAAACGCCTGGACACAGGAGGAGGGGTGGATGTCGTATACTTAGACTTCAGGAAGGCCTTCGATACGGTATCCCACCCCATACTGGTGAACAAGTTAAGAGGCTGTGACTTGGATGACTACACAGTACAGTGGGTGGCAAATTGGCTAGAGGGTCGTACCCAAAGAGTCGTGGTGGATGGGTCGGTTTCGACCTGGAGGGGTGTGGGCAGTGGGGTCCCGCAGGGCTCGGTCCTTGGACCGATACTCTTTAATGTC